ATCTTACACTGAGGTATGACCATTTTGTGTAGCTGTGGCTGTCATCTTGAATTGGTTTGACTCCAGGAGTTAAATTCCTGTTTGTAAACAAGAAACTGACGGATTATTCCTTTAAGGCGTAGTCTTTCTTCCACACAACCAAAACATGCGTGTTGGGTTACCTGTTAGTTCAGCTGACCGTTAGTGTACCTGGTTGTTTTTGTGGGTGTGTATCTGCAGGTTATCAGAGTACAAATAGGCTTTTTAAACTTGGCAGAATTGTTCACACAATATATGGTTTGCTTGGAAAGTACAGCTACAATAAGCTGAACCTTGATGCTCTTTTTTTTAGAATGATTTTTAACCTGATGTGATGCGTGTCTTAAAGCTGGGTGGATGTAGCACACTTCAGCTGTCACTCAGCACATGGGGCTCTGGTTTATGTTCTGACACAAATCTGTTTGAAACGACTACAGAGAGATTGGGGTATTCTTAGATAAAAGGTGAAGGCAAACTGCTTGCTATGTTTTCAGGCAGCACTGTACAGGAACAACAAACTGGGTCAGGCTGTGCTGTCTGTAAGGGGATGCAGGTAAATATAATCGAACTTTGTTTATTGCTGTAGAGCGGAAGAACAACATAGAGCTTAAGAAACGTTAAAGATAAAGGCTACAAAAACATCTTCTAACAGCTTCACGTTGCTCTGACCATAGTGTGTAATGCTTTTTCAAAGGCGTGTGGGACTGCAACCAACTTCCCAGGATATGGACGCAAGAGGAAATGCAACCCCAGGGTGTTTAGACAGGTACTTTAGATGGGAGAAAAAGAGCCAATGAAACCATCCACAACCATTCAACCTGAACTCCAAGGTCAAGTTACATCACTCCTTCCATCACATTTTGAATCATAATGGGCTTCATGGATAAAGACCCAACAGAAGGGCTCCGCTATTGGCAGAACAACACAAAGAAAGACAGAAATTTGTCAAAATGCATGTTGACAAGCCCCTAAGTCGGTGGAAGGGGGCCAACAAAGTTATCCCCGTCCGTACGTCAGAGTTAGTCGTCAACTATAAGATTCAGGAAGTCATGTGAGGATGCATCTCTCTACTCTGCTTATAGAACATGGGAGAGACAGCGGAGGCAGGCAAACTTGACTGGGGGGAACAATAAAGTTCACACATGATTCATCCTGGGTCTCTTCCTCGACGCCAGCCTGCAACACGTCCACCGCAGGAAAAGATGCCGCCGTGTGTCAGGAGGACATCCACTTCCCCTTGCTCTAAAGAAAGATTTCCTCTTTTTTTGTGCTTTTCAGAGAAGGTACTTCGAAGCACGGAGACAGTGTTTTGATGGATGCTCACATTCTTTGAGCGTAATGGGGGTATTTGCTGGGAACTGCGTGCGGGAGGCCGAGCTCTTCCACCCACATGCACCTGGCTGAAGCCTGGGGAGCAAATGTGCAATGACAGCGACTCTGCATCACAATACATTCCAGCAGCGTGCCCCCCCACCCCCAAAACAGTCACATGCTCCCTTTCTCATCGGCAACGTGAGGGCCAATAGATGCTGGTGAGGTTGAAAGAGAGCTTCTCGCTCTCACTTTACGCCAAGGAGGCAATCTGAGAAGCCTCTCTAAAGAGATCAGTGAAGTTGCACTTGTTAAAACATGCCCAATCCTTTCCCTGCCACCGAGCTGCTAATCCTGCGTGCCTCTAATTCTCAGAAAGCTCAAACTTGTTGTTTGTTAACGCGCCGTGCTGCGGCGAGCGTTGCGGAGGCCGCGCGTTTAAACATTTTCTTCCCTTTCTGTGGCACAAGTGTCAAAGAGGAAACTAAAATCGTTTTGTCATTTAAAGCAGCTTTGAGGTGGTTGTTTCTTAAAAACGTCCGCTCTTCATCAGCCGTCAGAAAGGCAAGAGGCAGAAATGTGTTCATGTGCAGCGGTGGGCAGCTCTAATCTAAAAAATTAGTTCCACTAACCCTAAAGCACTAACTCAAATATTTAGGTCCCCTAATTCTAAAGCACTAACGCAATGAAAGTTTTAGCAAAAGCTAATTCTAAAGCACTAAAACAACCCAGTCAACCCATGAACATTCTTCAACATGACAACATGAGTCACATGTTATCATGCTGCTCTCTTAAGCCTTATCATTGACATTCCACAGCCGTATTTGGGTTCATATATTATCACTTAGTGGATAAGTGACACACATATGAACAAAACATGCAACAGCTTTCACCATCAGCTGTTAACGTGGATCAATAACATTTATAGACCTCAGTTAGTGCTTCTAAATTTAGCCTATAAAAATAGCAATTGCTAATCCACTAATGACTTTTAAAATTAGCGAAAGCTCTATAGCACTAATTAGGAAATTAGTTCCCCTATTAGTGCTTTAGGGGAACTGTGCCCACCGCTGTTCATGTGTTTGATGGAAGGATCGTAATGAAACTTTTAGGAAATCCTCCTCCGATGTACGGCTAATTGACATTCAAAACACAAGAATTAGGTCCGTTTTCAAGCTGTTGAGCTAAAATTAGCTTTGGTCCTATGAGAGTTGTTCACAACACATCCTACACATTCTGCAGGATACAACTTCAGCATTAACTGGTGGAATTTGTTAGCAAAATGTCCCATCAAATATTTGAAGAATTCCAATAAAACTTTCTGAAAGTCATCATTTGATATCTGGCAGCACGACGGCTCAGTGGTTAGCACCGACGCCCCACAGCAAGAAGGTCCTGGGTTCGATCCCCGGTTTGGGCCTGGGGTCTTTCTGTGTGGAGTTTGCATGTTCTCCTCGTGCTTGCGTGGGTTTTCTCTGGGGACTCCGGTTTCCACCACCCCCAAAAACATGTACAATATGTTGCCTTCAGGCCCAGGCTGCCCTTGAAAAAGAGATCTGAGATCTCAGTGGGACTTGCCTGGTTAAACAATGGTAAATAAATACATCTACAACAGAATAACTTTGATGTCATTGCAGTTCAAAATGACCTTTGAAGCTAACATTAGCCAACACAAAAAATAGCTAAAATCCTGCCAGATTTACAGATAATGAGCTAAAATCTGTTGTGGTAGTAGCTGAGTCACCCCAGCACATGCAGTCAGTGTGACATTTTGCATGACGTGCGTTATGTTATCAGGATCAATTCTATCATTTGCTACCTTAAGATGATCTTAATTTAAATCCAATGGCGGCGAGTGATGTGCATTTCTTTATAGAATGGTAGTTTTAATTTATGAAAGATTGCGATTAGGCCCCGCTGTGCTGCTGAGTCCATGTTGGTCAACCCACTGCAACAAGATGCCTCCTCAGGAAACAGTGAGCTTGGATTATTTCCTAAGAGTCTTATTATTATTATCTCGTTCATCCCAGGTTAAGACCACACAACACCTGCTGCTCCAGTTGGACGCCATTTTTTTAAAATGAGTACATCATCATGTTCCTGCAGACAGGAGAGACAGCTGAGCTGCGGTGAACAGATCCACACACGGAGATGAATCTTGGAACAAAGCTTCCGTTAAACTCGCAGGTTCTCTCTGCCTGTCGAAGCACGCTCGATCTCTTTAAGGCCAAACTGAAAGTGATGCAGAAAGTACACGGGTCTCATGCAGCAACATGTCAGCACATTCTGTGCATTTATTTAAAAAGATAAAACGATCTTAATGGGAGCACATTTAGCTATAAATCTGGAATCCGCAGTAATGAGGAACGGTTTATTTCTTTGTTGCAACAATGCTTCTTGGCAATAAATGTTATGCTGTTGGAAAGTTTAAATGGCGCCACATTTGTAAGGAACATGCATTTGTGGGATGAGCAGTAGAGCGGAGTATGTGGGTTGTGCACGTGAAAAATTTGCCAAGTCTTCTCTGCCAAACAGCTTATTTTGATGTTGCTGCTGACACTTGATTTGAGCTTCTAGTACCTCCAGGTGTTGGTATAAGATTTATTGCCAAGAAGCATTATTACAGCAAAGAAATAATCTACCAAACACAAATTTTGTTACTATTTGTGCTAAGCTTACTAGTGCCTTTTTGTGTTTGCGTACTACCACAACTGCTTAGCTCAATATCCATCCACTATTATCACTATTCTATGTTGGCTCGGCATTCATCCTGAATTGAATTTGCTGCAAAAGTTAACAGCTGTAGATGGAGATCCAGTGATTACTTTCTGAAAGTTTAATAAAAATCTGATGTGGTTCAAGAGATATTTTGCTAACAGACAGGCAAATCTATCACCCTAAGTCCAAAAGGCTTCTTAGTTTGCAAACTGTGTCTAATTCGGCTGCAGCCTCCCATCTCTCATGACCTGTATGTCTCCAGGACTGTGGGGCGAACAGGTGGGATCACAGCTGACCCTTCTCACCCTGCAGCCGGTTACCACTCCCCTCAGGCAGAAGGTTTGGTCCATTCGGACCAGAACTTCCCGCCATAAGAACAGTTTCTTCCCCTCTGCCATCGGACTCTTGAACATTTAGAACACATGATTCCATAACTCTGCCTTGGCAACTTTATCACTGGATTTTAAACTGCACAACCCTGATTATATTGTTTTTCTGGTCACTTTTATGACGGGATCTAATTGCACTACTTCAACAATATTGTCTGCTTTAACTGGTGTACATATGTTTTATTCATTTTTTTTCATTATCCTTTGTATTTTCTTCATTTGTTATATTTTATAACCTTTACACCAAAACAAATTCCTAGTCTGTGGATTCTGTTCATTGACGATGGAAATAAAATAGATTCCGGTTCAAATTGAAAGCAGCAGAGCCATCAGTAAAAAGAAAAGAAAAAACGTAAATAAGGGAGGATTAAACAAAAGCTGACATTAGTTCTGTTTTTAGTGAGATTTACTAGAATTTAACAGCAATTAAATGACAACGCACCACCTTAAACACAAGAGAAGTGGAGAAAATGAACTTAGACATCCTCACCAGGAAATTATTAAAACTGAGTCTTGAACATTACAAAAAAAAAAAATAAATAAAATAAAAATAGGGGGCAAACGTTCATTGTACAATAAACCTTTAATAAATAGTTCATCATTAGTTTCCTGTATTTACATAACCACGGTTTACTTTACGTTGCCATACATATTTCTTGGCTAATTTTAGGCACACCGAGAAAAAGGGGGTTCAGGCCACAAACCACATTGTACTAAAAAATAAAGAGTGGCTAGCAGGTAACTCTTGAGAAATATAGAACTGCACCGAACAACCAAATAAGACGAGAGAGAGAGAGGTGGCCATCTCCTTGAGCGATAAATATATACATTTACTGTACGTACAGGTGATTTTTGTACATTTACAGTCATCTGAGTGCACGTGGCGGGGCTGGTGCAGAATCCTACCAGTTCATATGGGGCAGATTTTACGAGTTATTTTAGCAAATAAACAAAAGGACTATCAAATTAAATCAAACTGTGTGACAACGCCCCCCTCTGAAAGAATAAAAACAAATTGTCAGATGAGGGTCAACGCGTACAGTTTGGTGTGAAACATTCAGATTGTTACAAAGATACACGCACACACAAACACAGCAAAAAAAAAAAAAAAAAACATTGAAATGTTTGTTGAAAACAGGCAAATGGGAGATATCCTATCATTAAAAGAAGACTGTTAAAAAAAGAGAAAGCAATAAAACTTAAATTAAGACCAGAGAAAACAAAAACCAACCACAAAACAAAAAAGAAAGAAAAATCAGCGCAAATCATTTTGGCACACAATCTGACACCTTTTAGTTCAGAAACAGCCTCAAAGCTGCAGTTTGAAAGGAGAGGCATTAAATTAATTAATTAACCTAAAGTTAAAAAAACTGCTGGCAAAAAACAAACAAACAAATAAAGCATCAAGTGCTGCAGACAGAGAGGTGTGCCATCTACAGGCAACAAAAATACCAAACCGTGATATTTTACTGATGGGATGTTGTAAACGTGTCCAAATCAGGTTTTTACATTTTCTCTAATTGAAAGTTTTAAAGTTGACGGTAAACTAAATGTCTATAAATGCTCACATTTATAACTGGGAGTTTCTGATAAATGCAAAAGAAAAGGAACATCTGAGTTTATTGTTGAAAATATAAGACCCTTAAAAACAGTGGAATAACACAAACATACAAAAAGGACAAAAAAAAAGACAGTAAAGCTGGCTTTTCTTTTCTTGCCTTTAACTTTCAACATCATCTAAGCTGCTGCAGCTTCAGGTCTCACAGCGACAGCTTACTGGAGCAGGTGCAAAATACAATTACTTCCTATGGTCTTTTTCCAAGCATCGTTTCTTGTTAACCATATTGGAAACCGGGGCGGTTAAGGAGCCGCAGCAGGGAAACTCTTTATGAAGTTAGGAAAAAACAAAACGCACTACAAAGAAAATCCAACCACAGTGACGCTGAAGGTGGTCTCTCTCCGGCCTGCAATTGGCTGGCTACGTTGTGGAGTCTCTCAAATGTTTCGCAACTTTTGCAGGGTTGTCAACTTGAGCCAGCAACTAGTCCCCCCCCAACAGTACCATGCTCAGTCAAATACCACCATAAACTCTGACAGGGGGTCTGATAAAACAAAAACTAAAATTGTTCAGGAGGTTCTTCAACAAGGCAGGTAGTTAAAACTGAAAGATGACGTCATCCGAAAACAACTGTGGTACCACCCTGTTCAAACTGATCCTAAAGACAGCTTTTCTTTGAAAATCAGTTTGCTTAAACAGATTTACTAATCAAATTTTAAAAAAGAATATAAACTGAATCTCTGCTGACAGCTTGAAGCAAAGCTACACACTGAAACCAACTGAACCTTAAAAAAAAAAACCCATACAAAACTGCATTAAAGATAAATGTTTGGTCAGTGTATTTGGGGCTAATATTCCCACAGAGGTAAACACGGAGGAGATAACACATCTGTATTTAAAATGACGTTTCTACTCTAATAATGATGTTGGTCACTTCCACAAGACTCTAAACTAAATCTGGTTCTGATGATTACATTTCTGCCAAAATGATTCCCAAAAACGTTACGCACTCCCAACTGTAAATACAAGATATTATAAAGGTCAATTAGTTGCTACATGTGGTTATTGAGAAATGTGCCTGTTCAGCCGTCTGCTATCAGGGAAACCCTGCATTTCATGACACTTATCCTTTGAATTGTCTTTTGCAGCGGGCTTGGACCTAATGATGATAACTCAACGACTTATTAAGGGTCAGCGTCGACACTGGCAGGCTGATAACAAGGCTCCAGCTCCAAATGCTCCGGAGGCTTTTAAAAAAATAAAAATAAAACCGTGGTTCAATAAGCCCGATGGTGATAAATGTCAGGAAACAAAGAAACAGGAAGGGCACCATTACAAAAGAATAAAAAGTGTCTTAACAGCTCCGATGGGAGCAATAGGGTAAAGATTACAGAGCCTCCTCAGACCTCGGTCTTCATACAGGTTTTGCAGTGTCTCTATATTTTCATGGTTAAGTCACTTCAAGGCAACATTTGTTTCTTGAATTAAAAACTTGAAGCACAACTAGCTTTCAGTTTGAACAGAGAAAAAATATACAACCCAAACTGTACTACAAATCTAAAGAAATGCAAGTAAACATTGAGAAAAAACCAAACAAAACAAAAACCTGTTCAGCTGATAAAGTGGTCTCGTTCCGGCACTTCTCCCTGCAAGAAGTGTGATATTTAAACCAACTGTGGTCCTAACAAAGCTTATTGTTTCTGAACTCTTTGACCTGCGTGGATAAGATTAGGCAGCGGCTCTTCGAAGCTCCTCACGGTTTAAAGTCGCCGTGCTTTCTCGCCACAGAGGAAGAACGGTGTTCTCTTTCCTGGACGCTGCGACAGGCTTCAGAACAGTGTGACGGAGAGACACGAGGGGCGCTCAACTGTCGGCTGAACAAAGTCGCCACGTCACTACTGTAAGAGCAAATATCAAGACTCACACGGGTATTTAGTAACATTTGAGATAAACCCACTCCGAACGAACCAAAAACTGCTTGTTTTGTACCAGTGGGTTGGGCCAAGCTGTTGGGTTTTTCCACCAAAAACAGGAGTCCAACTGAGCTGTGTCTCTCGCACACAAACCTTTTAACTGCAGCCTTAAAAAGAGAGGAAGAAAAAACTAAATTCAGCTTCTTTCTGACAGGATCTTTAGAAAGTTCTCACAAAACCCTGTTTTTAGAAAGAAAACAGCTGCAAAGGATGAAGCACCCGCATTTGTGCTGTGGACACAAACACACAATCACCGACTCTTCTTCATGACGCTTCAGTTAAACGTGTGCCTGAGGCGAGTCCGTGTGATAAAATGTGTGCGTCTGTCCGTGTACGGAGGGTCTATTTGGGGTAAAAGTGAGGGAGTCGGCCCCCTTTGACTGAGGTTATACGCTGCTGTCCTCCAGCAGCGGCTCCTTGCCTTCGGCCCCGCTGCCCTGGGGGCTGTGGGAGTGACTCTGCGCCCCGTTGCTGTGCTTCTTATAGGCGCTGGGCCTCAAGCCGGGCCCGGTGTGCTCAGGGATGAACAGGGCCACCAGCAGAGACAGCAGCACTGAGCACGCACCGAACAGAAAAGGAGGTCCTGGGATGATGGCACTCTAAAAAACAAAAAAACAAACAATGTGTTGATGGATTAAAACACAAAGAGAAAAGCTTCCCCCCTCTCACCACAGCTCACCTCATCAGTGGGATTGGCCATGTTGGGTTTGGCACCTTTGTCAGAGCCGTCCGTGTCAGTAAGTTCCACGTGGAACAAATAAAAGACGAAGCCATAAAGGGCAGGACCCAAACCGTTACAGAGCCCTCGAATACCAGTGATCATCCCCTGGACGACACCTACAGAAAACACGAGAGGAAAAATAATCAACAAATCTGGTCCATAATAGCAAGGAGAGCTTCATATGGTACAGAAATTACAAATAGTTCAAAATAAGGCTGCGATTTCAGAAGTAATGTCAGCATGATGCATATTAGATTATCCTGGTTAAGGGTTGAAGTGTTTTATGTTTAAAATGATATTATTATTAAGAAATATTACTAGTTTAAAACAGCCAAAGATTATATACTTTCAATTGTTTTTTTTAGCACCAATGTACATGATTATCAAACTAGACATGCAATTCAAAGTAGATTTATACTTTCAAAAGTTCACAAATTCCATGAAGATGTCGGCTTTATATAGATTTGTGTTTTATGGAATAATTTACCTAAAAACATATTGGAAAAATATATCAGGAAAATGAATTTCGAAAAACTTTAAGAAGATATTTGCAAGGAAAACAATTATATTGAATAATTCATTATTATATTCATTAAATGAAAATTAGTGACTGATTAGTTGTTTTGTATCCTGTCTTTATTTTGCATATTAATCTGTGGCCTCTATTTCTATTTTTATATTTGCATTTATTTTTGTTTATTGTGTAGTTATTGTTGTTTTGAATTTATGTGAACTATTTATGCTATGTATTTTGTGTTGTTTTATGTTTTATGTGTGGACACCAGGAAGAGTAGTTGCAGGAACTGCAACTAATGGGGATCCAAATAAAAGAAAGAGCGAGCTGACGTTCCTTTGAAAACAAGGGAAAGGACACATTGTAACATGAACATGTTTGTTTGTCCAACAGCAGTGAAACAGCAGAAAACATTTTGTTTATTCATGAGTCAGAGTTCAATGACTTAAGGTGGCATCTCACTGGCTGCGACTGTTTGTCACTAGTTGGTGAGTCAAAGTCGCAGAAAATAGGGACATTTTCAGTTGCAGTCACACTATTTCTAAATGTGATCAAACAACCAAAAACAACTTGCAATAAGCAGAACTTGCAAAAATGTATTTTGATCCATGCACCTTATTTTGTGGCACACACTGCGCCCTCAGCCTGCTTTGCAACCTCTTTGCCAACCATCTCCACATTTGATTTAATGCACCAGAACGTACACTTGAGCTGTAGAAATTTGGATCTTTTTTTTTCAGTAATTATTATTGATCAACAGCATGTTTTTCAAATCTGGACACAGGCCTCGTTTGTTTTCTGTCAGAGGAGAGCTCCCATGCAGGTGTTAAAATACAGCTCCAGCATTCAGACAGGTTTGGGACACCTGTAATGACTAGGACTCTGTAACTAAGTATCTAATAACTTAAACTAGTTATTTGCCCAATACAGTCTAAAATCCAATGTTCTTAAAAAAACTACAAAAACACCACAGCAAAATAAGTGTGTTTGATAGAAACACATGCAAACAAAAGTGAGTGAAACTCACCTTGCTGGTCAGGATCTGCATTTCGGGACACGATGGCGCTGATGGCAGGGAAGGTGATGGTGGACATGGCTGCCACGGCTCCAGCTGCCCACATCATCCTGCAAACAAAATAACATTTGCTACTGGATTTAAAAATTAAAAAAAGCAAATTAAAACGTCTTTAAAAGGTGAGGCAGAAACCATAAACTACAATAACAACCAGCACATGTTTGAGTTTTATGCTGTAAAGAAAGTGAAGGAAAACGTGGCCTCACAAGTCACAGGTAACTTTATTGCAAAGCTTCAAATTTTTTTCTGAACAAAGGGAGCCTTGTTTCTTCAGTGCATCAAATTACCAACTTGACCTTTGTTTAACTTAATTTCTGGTGTATTGAACAAACTGGAGAGGAGTCATGTTGTAAATGTTGTCTTTTAAAATTCAATTAAGGAAGATTTTTTTCTTTACAAGACAAAAGAAATAAGAGTCTGGAAGCAATATCACTTCAAGAGAAATGAAACTGATTTTTTTAAGCAATCTTCAAAAGTGTTTTTAAAATAATATTTAAAATACATTAATTTCCAAGTTTTATTTTCCATAATGTATCTGTTAATGCAAATGTGCCCTTAGGTGTCAATAATTAATTTTACTTTGATAAGAGGACAAAGCTTTTTATATTTAAACATAGTTAAAAGTCTTTGAGGAGCTCAGAAATCATTTTTAGGATTATGATTCCCTCTAGTGGTGAGTTGAGGTAATGACAACCAGTAAATACAATACAGATCTAGTTGATCCTATTTCAGCTCAGTAGTATAATTACCTCATCCTGATAACAACCCTGAGCATATATGAAACTATAATCTGCACAGGATTGCAGGTTGTTTATCACATCCTCCAAACTATAATACTTTTTTGAAGCACTTTTTTTATGCTTGTTCCTTGCTTCTCAAACATCTCACCAGAAAAACAAAACAAAAACACACATAGAAGACAAGGATCTGTGGAAGCAAAAGGATTTAAGAGTCACTCACCAGGGTTGAGAGCCAAAGCCGTACCAGGCCAGCTGGAGAATCTGGAAGCCGAGGCCGAGCAGGATTGTGTTTTTATTCCCTATCGAACGCATCAGGATACCCAACACGACCGTCTGAGGGAACAACACAAGGTGGTTTGTTTGTGGGCCATCAGACTCACTGAGAGCCATTATGACCCAATTCATTTACTCTTTTTACTCCGTGACATGAAATCTCAAGAGAAAGGCGACCACTTAAAAAAATGCAAATTCATGAGTTGCACAATAAAGAAGGAAATCTTCCACAATTTTTAAACAGTTCACAGACTTAACCGACTTACACAGTAAAGACTCAATGAAAAGACTAAAAATTTAAAAAATGAAATCAGAAAAACATTTGAAATGAGCACCAAATCATGTACCTGTGCTAATATTGAGAGGATTCCTACTACTGCTATAAAGGCAGCCACCGTCTCTGAGGTGAAGCGTATAACCTGAAGGAAAGACAGTTCAGATAAGACGAGTTAGGACATGAAACTTTTCCCAACTAAAATGCAAAAAATGACAAGGGTTTGTAAAAGTCTGCTTATAACCTTTATTCTTAAAAATAAATAAACAATTTTTTTTTTGGTCCTGGTGATTGTAAGTCAAACATTCAGCTCTTTTATGAACTTTCATTCAGATAGCAGTTAGCTAATGTAAAACGTTTGTAATTTACTTATATCTTACTTATCCTAATGCTCCAGCTTTATGCACTGAAACACACTGCTCTGAAAACATGCACTTATCTTTAAGCAACTAAAGATTTGTTATTTTTCATTTTTGTTTGTTAAACTGAGATTCCTCGTGTTTTATTTATTTTAATTTTACCCCCCAAAGTGACAAACCTTTAATGGAGGTACAAAAATGGCAAATGTATGAAGTGATCACGAACATAGTACCAACCATAACAGACTGACATTTTTATGACAGCCATGATTAATTAGGGAAGAGAGAAACATCTGTATAGATTCTACTTCTGCATTGTACTGCACTACAGTCGTAGATGCTTAAGAATGATTTGAAGAGCATCACAAGTTTGAGCTGTTGACTCTGCACTCAGATCTCAATCTATCTGATGATCCTTAAAAAGTCGTGGACAAACAAGCCTGCCACATAAAGTCTCCACCTCTAAAGGATCAGATCAGATACTTCAGCAGACCCTCAGAGATTTAGTCAGAACAGAGGGAACTGATCAGTGACTAAGTTACATTTCCAAAGAACAAACTGCTTATTTAACAGTTTATTTCTATAAACATTACCTGTTTGAGATAAAGGAAGAAGCTGGAGTACTGTCCGGCTTCGGGGAGGTAGGAGAGAAACACTGTGATACAGATGAGGAGCACCGTCGAGTCCTGGCCTACTTTACGCAGGGACTAAAAAAAAAAAAAAAAAAAAGAATAAAAAAAGAAAAAGAGAAAGAAACATTTGACTAGTTATAAAACCTTCAAGATGAGCAAGGCCTGTGGCGTTTCTGACATCCTCACATAAACAAATTTATTTATTCAATAAACTCTGAGCAACAAAAAATTTACTGTGCTGTTTCTATCTGCAGAATTAACTTGAGGTGAGGAATACAGACTGATGATTGCACATTCACATGTGGAAACACACACACACACACACACACACACACTTGCTACGACTGACTTTCATTCATCTTTTTCCAAGCACCTCCCCCTCCCCAAGTTCTCTTCCACCTGCTCCCTGTTCTAACCACAGACTATAATACCATCAGCAAACATCAGCTGTCAAACACATCACACACACTTATTATTACAAATAAACTTCAATCTAAAATTTCATGTTTTATTCGCTAACTCTAAGATGATTATTACAAGTTATTCAGATCATCGGCTCAGCCGTCAGCTTCAAATAAAATCAAACACAGTCGAAGGTATTTGCTTCAAACAGGTAACGGAGAGACGCCTAATCTGTGTGTTTATTTTATCTAAGTTCTGAAGCTTTAATTCTGCTTGACAACAAGGTGGAGACGCCACAGTTGTGCTGATGTGCCGTGATGAATTGTGTGTGTGAGAACACCAAACTCTTACTCATAGAGCACATCAACACAGAACAAAAACAAACATGTTGGCTGAAAACAATATTTGCCCAGAAAGGAGAAAACAGACTAAAATGGAGTTTGTGTTAATGCTGAATCAGCATTCTATATATGTATATTAAAAAATACAGTTATTTTAAATCTGCTTTAAAGCAAATTAATTTCAATCTTAAGTTACATTTAGCTTTTAGCCACTATTCTGCCACTTGTGCTTATTTTAGCAATATTTTGCCATCAGGTAAGGGTTTTGCTCATTTTATTTTTCATCCATGACATTGCTTATTTTTGTTTTAAGCCACAAATTATCTAGTTTTAACATTCATCACTTGCAGAGCCGATTTAAGCTTTTGGCTATATTTTATCTAAGTTTTGTTTTTAGCTACAGTTTTGCTAATTTCAGCTATAAACTCAGTTTTCAGTTGACCCTATATCTAATTGTTAATTTAGCTTCTGTTGCGCTGAATTTAACTTCAGTTTATTTATTTTTTCAAATTTCAGCAGTCATTCATGCAGTGTTTTTTTTTTCTAGAGTTGGTGCTCACTGCAAAGGGGTCTGCCTGTTCCCATGAGATTGGAGCTCCCCACGATGCTGGCCTCATTTTCTCGGGCAGCGACTCGGGCACCGCCACCAGGATGAAGCAGATGTCGAGGAGAGCGATGGCCGTGGCTAAAATCACCACCAGCGTGTCGCCGTACGCCTCAGACAGATAGGCTCCGATGGCCGGACTGGTGACGAGGCTAGCTGCGAAGGTGGCTGATACCTAAGAGTAGAGTGAAGAAACGAGGCAAGAAAAAAAAAAACAGGAAGATGACTCAGACTCAGACTTATGGGAAGTCACAAACTGTCACAATTTGTTTCAAACATTTCCTCACCAAACCATACGCCGTGCTCCGTTCATGCTCCTGCGTGATGTCTGCCACGTACGCAAAGATCACAGAGAAGGTGACGGCAAAAACACCGGACATGGAGATGACTGCAAAGTACCACCTGAAAACATGAAGACTGGCTCAAATGAAATGTAAAAACTTGCTACCTTACAATTTGTATTATTTAAGAGACTTAAAACTTTAGCTTCCATCGATAAAACAAGATTAATGTGTGATTGTTGCAACAGTTTGGCCTCACCATGGACTGATCTTCAACAGAGGAATTGGTGCACACGTGAAGAAGACTGTTAGCAGCAAGAAGGATTTGCGTCCCCATACATCTGACAACGCTCCAATCAGAGGAGCACTCAGAAATGATAAAAGACCCTGAGAGACGATACAGAAGGTTTGGTTGAAGGAATGATGACTGAATGTATTTTAGAAGCAACACAAAAAATCATGAATTCAAAGTCAGTTTTATATTTCAGTGGACATAATGCATTGCTCAGCTGGACAAATTTCAACAAAATCAAGAGCCAAAGCTTATCGGTGGTAGCTTTGAGTTTCACTTGAATTGCAGCTTACTCTAAATAAAGACCTGAAACCAGAGAAAACCAAAGAACAATGAAACACTCACTGCTGTTTGTGTTTACTGATGGATAAAATGACTAAGACAAAGTGAGAAAAACGATGCAGTTTAAAAAAGTTCCTCTGATAAGACAACTTGTTCGGTTTTGCTTCGGCACAAAGAGAAGTCGTTTTACCATTTCTGCTTTAAAAAAATAAAAAGACTATTAAATGTTTCTCTTAGAACGTCATGAGAAGTGATTACAAGCACATCCAAAATAACCACCTTCATGTTGGAATTTTAGAACTTCACCATCAGAAGCGCTCCAACTGAGCCGGCCTTTGACATAATGTCAACACGGTGAACAGGGTGTCATTAAACATCAACACACACGCACAGCAAATCTCCCAAAAGGCCAATAATAGAAAGACTTTGCTGTGTTCAATGTGAACGTTAATTAGTAACACTTTGCTGCTTTATGCGGGACTTTAAATGGGCTTCTTATGTGAAGAAGTCACATGAAGTGCCACAGCTGCAATGGCCTTAGGGCAGAAACTGGATTTGAACTTTGGTAAAAAATGACAAATGAGCATCACTTGGCTTTTGAAACAGCAATGCTTTTAAAGTCAAATGTATGCATCATAAAGAAATATGTTAACATGTGGGAGTGTGTTTTGGCACTTTGCATCTGCCAGCTTTTATTTGCCAATACGTAAGTTATTATACAGTGTGAGGCTAAACAGATCCTTGTTGGTCTGTGTATTACCTTCACACCGTGAATAAGTCCATTCATCAGGAATGTGTGTTGGGGGAATGTCTGATGTAATACCTGCAAAAGAAATACAGATAAAATTAGTGAAACGACTTTATACGTTTTATCACCTCACAAACTGCACTTTACTCTGTTCATTAAAAATGTACATCACACATTATTTTTCCCTCAACATGCAGGAAATCTAATAAAAGCAAAAGCAAATATCGTATCCCAAAGATCTGAAAGCAAAGAACAAATTAGGATATTTAATTCGTTTTGAGGATGTTATAAGCTTGTCTGTATTGTGTCACCAGTCTGATGTTTGGCTCTTTCAACACTGTAGGCTGCGGCTGTATGAGAAAAGTTTTGTTTATGAAAAAATGATAAAACTAGCACTTTAACACAAAAGAGTTCAGAAAAATTGTGAAGTCGTAGGTGTTATCTGTTTGTTAAGTGTTCATGGTTACAAGTTTTGTTTGTCTCACTCTGCTCTACTTATGATAAATATGTCAGAGTTACACACACCAGAGTCTGCATTACATAAACCTAAACTTATTTATTCCTAATATGAGCACCTGGTTATAGCAGAATTATATTAACCCCAAAAAAACTTCCTGACATCAGATTAACATTCAGAAAATGTTCCCTAAATTACTAGAAACAGTAGGAAGTGTATTAAAGACATTTATTTGTGTTCTGTTGACTGTATCAAAGCATTATTAATATAAAGGCTAGCCAAAACAGCTATAGTGTGTCAACACTTTTATCTATGTATCAAGATGAGTGAGCGGTGAACAGTTCACTAAACTCCACAGAAGCTCAAAGTTCAGGTTTGTGTTATTGACACTAGTGTGGGAACATGACGCTTTAGTCTAGTTCAGAACATGGAGCTTGACCGACAATAATAGGATCTGGTTATTGTTTAAGTTCACAGACGAAAAGCTTCAAGTAGAGCTAAGAATGTCCTCTGTTCCTCCAGGGATCAGTTACCAAACACACACAGATGTTAAATGTTCCCGGTTGTTGTTGGATACTAATGAAGCAGTGTGCTCATTGGGAGCAGTGAAGCAGATCCTCTTCATCTTCAGGCGGCCTCTAATTAGTCCAAAATGCAAATTATGTCTTCGCCCAGCAACCATAAGGGCCCCCCCCCCCCCCCCAATTAATTAATACTGACACATACAACCATCTCTTCAAACAGGAGCTTACAGAGGTATGCATTTCATAATCCTGTCTGGTCCACATCACGTGCTTTACAGATGTTCCTGCATAATTTGTAATAAACATTTCTGCCAAAAAATTATGCAGAAAAATTGTAGGCATGAAATATCAACAGAATTATCTGATAAAAAAAAGACTGAAAAATGAAATATTTTGGATTTAGCCAAGATTTAACTACCCTGCTGGTATAAATAATAGGGCTGGGCACTAACAGCCTCTCAGTTACAACAGCTACAATCTTTTGGGTCACAATTTGATTCGACTGAATAAATCTGACAAACTCAAGACTTAAAGTAAATGGAAAAATCCTGAACCTTTTTTTGTGCAAAAAAATCTGTGCAAAAATCCTCACTTAAAAAATGACAAAAATGTAAAATGAAAAATTGCAGATTTTCACACTAACAATGAATATCTGAAAATAATCTCATGGAGAAAATTTTCATTTTTGGGGGAGGAAGAAGACAGACGTAAAACGTAAACATTTTGGCTGTAGTCTTGGTCAGACAAATTCATATCTTTCTGTGTTGTTTTATTCAAGAACTAAATGTAAATGGTAAATGGACTGTACTTATATAGCACCTTCCTATCCATCCAGGACACTTAAAGTGCTTTACAGTTACAGACATTCACCCATTCACAACTAAAGCAACCAAGACAGACAGGTTGTGCACATTACTGCAGCGGCTAAACAGACGTTAGCTCAACACTAGCTTACCTATACACACGTCGACCGGTTCAGCCCCACTTGAATGTGCTAACTGAATCGATTATTTTACCCACCCTTAATAAATAATTATATTTTATTTTAAGTCATTTGGCAAATGTTTAAGTATGAAGCTGTCTAATTTCTAGCAGCAGCATTTTGTAGGCAACTTGTTTTGTTCAAGATGCCCACAGCGAACACTTGGATCAAACTCTTCACAGCTGCTGCACAGTTCACTGAGGTGAAAATGTGGTGCAGCCTGTCCGTCTAGTATCTGCTCTGAGTAGACATGAACCACTGCCCCCACCTTGATAAGCTTTTCTGAAACTACAATACGACAGTTTGATGCCCTCTGCATATGCTTCAGCTTGTTCGTATTTTTTTTAAAAACACCTGTCAAATGGACCATCTGAAACAAACAAAATAAACCATTCAGGTTTTTTGTCTGACTGATTGAAGATTCAATTATTCATAGACACCGATGGGTCTTGTGTGAAGTGAGTCAATAGCAGATGCCACTCACATTGGTTTGGGTTTCAGGGATGGGAGGGAGATGCACAAGGGGTTACTTTCATCGACATTGCTTCTTTTCAGAGAGTCGTATTGGGGCTTACCGTGAGCATCGGGGTGGTGAGGAGACCCCATGCAAAAAACTCCAAGAAGATGACCACCACGGCATGGTAAACACTGGGCTCACCGATTCCCTGAGGCTAAACAGAAACAGAGACAGAAAGGCAGTTAGTTGACGGGCAACAATGATCTCTGTGTACTTCAAAGTGCCTGTTGATAGTGAAACAGTAACAGACTGAACTTTACACTGAAATGTATTTGGAGGAAGCATCGCCTGAATCTGTGTGACAACCCACAGCTGGGTATGAATTCACTTCTTTACACCGAGTGGCCTTATCTGAACCCAGAGAATATCCACTCAGTTGTTTCAGTCCTGAATGAGGACTTAAACGAACAAAAGCCTCCACTCATCAGAAACGCTGTGGCAAGTATAAATCTAGTTAACACTATTTAAATGTGCTCAAAGGAGAGCAATGCTCAAATGCACAATGAATCACACAAGGAATTTGAATACGGTCAATAAACAAATGACAAGAAATTTGTGGGTTCAAATGATTTAAATAAAAACTGCCTTTTATTACTCACAAGTTTCATTATGGTAAAACGAATATCTAATGTTTTTAGAGATGGTAATTAAACACAAAACGTATTAATGCTTTATTACATATTTCTGCTTCATAGTTACAAAGGCTGTCAACATCTAAACAATATTTACAACATGAAATTTGCAAGTAAAAGAGCAGATTTATATTCTAATTTTCAAATATGACCGGCATAAAAAGCTTGGAGAGCAAAATTAATGTTTAATCCTTGTTTCATTACAGCAATAATAATAATAATAATAATAATAATAATAATAATAATAATAAAAGCAGTAGAGATACAGCAATTAATCAACTAACCAATTTGAATTGGTCAATTATAGACACTAATCAGCCATGTTTGTAGAGCAAGTTAGAGTTTTTTTATGCAAAAATGCTATCCTATATTATTTAGCCAAACTATGTCAAAAATAGTTTACAATGATGGGCAGATCAAGAGGGTTTCTGTCATCATGTTGATCATTTATGTCACTAAAATCTTTAATTTTATCTTAACTGAATAATTAAAAAAATTTTCTGTATGTTAAATGATATAGTAAAGCAGCCTAATATTCATTTCTCAAAGGGTTATAGGTCACTGTAAAAAGCAGACATGTTTTTAGTAAGTAAATATAAATAAGTCTATAAAATTGACTCCCTTGTGGTAAAGTCTCCTCACCTTACAGTAAATCAGTGTGATAATGAAATCATGTTGCTGCGCAGCAAACACAATTGGGTAAGTTAATTGTAACAACCACGAAATAGGCCAGGTCTAACTTTAGAAACCTTCTTTATTTAACAGTTGCCCATCCATTTATAGTCACATGACAGTTAGGGCTGCAACGATTAATCGACGACTAATCGATTATTAAAATAACCGATGACTTATTTAATAATCGATTAATCATTTTCTTTTTTTGTTCTTTACTTTGTTTCTCTCTCCAAACTGCTTTGACACCTTCCACTGCCACATCTGCCTTTCTGTCCTTGACACACATGCACAGTAGTGGTAACTGGGGTAGGCCGTGGACGTCACAAGACATTATACAGACAGGCTCTGGTATCATGGCCACCTGACAACGGAGCTGAAAAGTGTGGGATCTTTTTAAGAAAAATAAAGAGAAAACTGTGTAATATCTGCAGAGCAGAACTTGCCTTCCACAGCAATTATTTTTAGTTAGCATATAGCTAAAATCTAACCATGGTTATATAATAGCAGCTGCATTCTGGCACGATAAGCTCTATGCTTTATATTCAATTAACGTATGATCTGATTAGTCGACTAATCGAAAAAAATAATCGGTGATTAATCGACTATAAAAATAATCTTTTGTGGCAGCCCTAATGACAGTCAACAGTCCAGCTTGGGGTGCAAATTATATCTGCTCAGACAGTTCCCACCACAATACCTGCTTAGCTGATAAAACTGTGAAGGTTTCGTAAGAACGATGCAACTTCCTTTTTGTGAAACTGGCACCAGCAATACATTAGGAGATCACATACGGTCTATTGACCAACAAGCTTTAAACCTGTTATTTGCGATGACATGACTGGATGATGAGCTGGTGCTTGAATGTGAAGCCATAATGTCTGAGTGGTCAGAGGAACCAGGCACACAATGAAGCTGTAACAATTATAGGAACCAGAGCAACAACATATCAAAAGCAGAGTTTATGAGATCACGAGAACAAAACATGCGGTTCTTTCCAGTATCCTCATCTGTTTGACAAAGATGTTTAAAACATAATTACACAACCAATAGTGATGCATCATTCCATTTATAAACACGCCACATAAAATTCACCTTTAGTCAATAGCCCAATTTAGGACTAAAATCTAGTTTTCACTATCTAAACATTAAAAACAGCCAAGAAATGAGTCAAACTGATTTTAAAAGGACTGTTGTGTTTTTTCAGGTGAAAATAAATCAACATTGTATACCTATTATGACTACATTACAAAACTGAGGGACAAGTTGGAACCAATATTTACGATTATGTAATGTTGAGTCAGATTGTTTTTATACATTCTTAAACTTTAATGCTCATCAATAGTCTATGCATAAACAACATTACTTTGTATATTCACTTACTTTCTAAAGACCCATAGTATCCTATTTTGTTAATTAAACTTGACAAGAACAAAGGGGTTGAAACAACATCAGCATGAAAGTTTTGTAGTAGAACTGGTAAATAAACTACTCAGGGAGCTCATAGCATTGTAGCTATGTGAACCTGACGTTAACTTAAATAATTTTATTCGATAATTTAACGTTCAGGATAAGGAAATATCTGTAATAAGGAATTACTAATTCAAGAAAAAAAACATCCCTTTCGCTGTCATTAGCCAGTTAGCGTTACCTGAGCTGACGTGTAAACGAGTAGCAGGCCAATGCTAGTTTACAGTTAGCCACTTAGCTTCGTCGGTCTCGTCAACACAAGCCAGCGTTACCAGTTAACGTTAACAGACAACCACAAACAAAATGAGCTAAAAGGGTCGTGTTTTAAATAAATAAACAAGACTTTCGTATATCACAGTATCCGAGAGCCAGTCCAGCTCAATGGCAAGGTAAGTTAACGGTGAAAAATAAATATTTAACTCACACTTCCTCCATCTTTTATTATAATTTTCTTTGCAAGAAGAATGCTGCGGTTCAGCCGCTTCTTCTTCTTTTTCTCCCCCGTCATCGTTAACTTATGTCCATTCTTGTTTTCAAGGGCTCATCGTTTCTCCTACAAAAACTAAAACAGTACACTAAATTTGGCTACTAAGCTCATTACACTTCAACAGTCGGCTACAGGCAGCTAGCAGGAAGCTAAATGATGATTTCTCATCCCCACCTCACTTCAGCCCGTCTTCCTGTACTGAAAGACCCGCCCCGCCCAACAAAATACTCGCATACGATTGGTTATTCATCGAAAACGCGATACAACTAGAAATCTTATTGGTTTGGGGAAAAGTTGGTGATGAGCACCTCACGTGGTGATTTGCGAGCAGCACACCGCGGGTAACAAAGAGGAAATGCCATATATGGAGCTCGTGTGCTTTTATAAAAAAAAAAAAAGTCATATTCATGAAGTCAATTAACACATTCCATTCATAAGGCAAACATAAAATGTATTACTTTTTAATTGATCACAATTCAATTCAATTCAGTTCAATTCAAAAATACTTTATTGATCCCAGAGGGAAATTAGGTAGAATTTAAAAAAAATTAGGTACAAATGCCCAAATGTAATTTGATTACATATTTGGAAAACATGTAAATATTCTCATTTATGTGTGAAAAACGTTAGTTTTTCTTTTTATGTGTATGAACAGTATCATAGTAAACAGATGCTTGTAAGATGTTCATTTATTTCAGCTGGTGACATGAGGTTCACCACATGCATAATCCCCACTTTAAAAAATGTACTGACGCACAAAAAAAGCACACACCCTTGTCAGAAAAATACTCAATCTAAAAAGAAAATATTTTACACAAGTTTCAGATTAAATCAGTTTAACAATGTATGGACAAAATGAAAAAAAAAAAAAGCAACCTAATGATTTTCCGATGAGATTCCTATTGCAGTGTAACACTGCTCAATGCAAAGTCAAGGGTAAAGTAGTCAAACTACAATTATAAGATTTTTTTTTATATACTCCTATTTGTTTCATGATGATTGAAACCAGTGTCTTGTTTAGTAAAGACAAGATACATGTATATTTAATTGCTCCTTGCTTATTATGTTGTTGGGTTTTTCCCAGTTGGTTCAAAATACTCATCTTTTATAAAAAGTGTTCTGTACAACTCTAACATATATTTAAAATCAGAGTGCGAATAAGGTGACCATGATTTGTTTTGGATCCATCATAAAGACCAAGAAAACATACAAGCTCTCAAAGCACTCTGTCTCTTTAGCAGCAACGACAAATTCAAAAAGTCTGTAAAAACAAAGTGCACTCTTTGGTAACACAAAACACAAACAGTAGGAATATTTAGAATTTTCCAGCTTATGTTATTTAGTGTCAACTTTAATCTTCGTCCTCATCAATGTAAGGGATGTCCAAGTCATTAATGTTCCCATTAAAAGTCTTGTTGGCCAGCTGGGGGTTGCTGGTTGTGGAAGAAGCTTCTTGACTCGTGGTCTGAGGAACATTAGTGCTGTGTCTCGAGGCAAGCTCTTTTTGTTCAGTGTGCGTCTCAGCCATCACGTTTCGAACTCTCTGCACCAGATCAGCAGGCTTATGAGAGAAGTCAGGTTTCTGAGTTTTCAAGTATCCTGCGAACAGAAACACTGGATTATTAAAGCATATTTTATATGAATGTAGGTTTAGATTTCATCAGCCTACACAGAAGCGTGAAGACAGATTGTTTTTTTTAAACCTGTGTTTGTGTTTTTTGTGGAAAATATTACAGATTTTACAGATGTGGAGTTGAAATTTGATGTTAGTAGCCATCCATTCCCAACACAACTTAAAACTGATAACACCTAATCTGTCTTTACTATTTGCCATTTTACAAATGTTATGATGAGGCTGTTTCTGAGAACTATTAACAACACATACTCTCAGTGCATGAAATGAAGCATAATTTAAACAAAACAGCTACAACTCTGTCATTTTCCATCATAAGATGGTCTTAAATTAAAACTCTGGCAGGTGACAGGCATCTATTCAAAGAATGCTAGTTTTTTTGTTTTTATGCTAAATTCATGGAAATGGAAAACCGTAAGTTAATACAGTATGCGTTACAACCAGTGCAATAAATCTCAGGATGTAAAATAAAGGAAGTAATAACTTTCTAAGCCAAAACATCCACTTCATAGTAACCACTTCCTCCTTGTTGCGATTTGTGAAATTCAGTGATTTAGAATGGGAAACAGGATTTGACGTTACAACATCAGACTGGAACAAAAACTAAAATGTGGCCTTCTATAGCAGAAAACTATTCTACAGCTGGCTTTCTTGAGCGTTATGCGGCTCAGCAAAACCTATTAAAAAACCTACCAACCTATCTGACACCATGAATAAAACTAGCAGCCAGAATGAGTAAACAAAAAATTTATTGACCCAAAGAAAACATAGATAATATTTTTACATAAACTAAGATTTTTTTTCAGACTTTTCAGCAAATCTGGACAAAAGGCAACATTTACATCGACTGAATTTAAGGTTTCTATCTGACACACAACCCACGTGTTTTCATACAGTAGCTGCTTTATGGGGAGAACAAACAAAAGGAACACAGTCATGGAGAATCAAAGTTTCCTCCTGCAGCATCGCAGTGGAGAAATGCACAAAAACTGCCCGTCACTCCATGAGCGGACCAGAGGATAAAACTAAAAGGGGTTTCTGTCTCTGATGCTCAGTTTTTCCTTCCTATTGTTCTTCCCACCTCTACATGAATCATATTTATGACTGAAGAAAAGAACAAACTTATCTCCCCGTTTTATGAATCGTTGCGTCTATAAGAACACGGTGAGCTCCTGACCACAATGGCTTTGTTAGAGCTATTTTCTACCCCCAAACGTAAAATCTAATAATGTTTGTAAAAAAATGAGCCACATTGGTTCAGATAAAGTCCTCTCTATAAATAGTGTCTTCCTAAAAAGAAGGGCAATGCACATTACCTCCCTACTGACCTTCCGATTCCAGACTCCCCAGGAGGTCCAAGCTCTCTGTGCTCATTGATGAGGAGTCGTCCAGGACCTCGCTGTCAGAGTGCTCGTGCTCCATGTCTGTTAAACCGCAGATCATATCAACCCTGAAAATAAAAAGAGCAAGAAAAGCTTTTATTCAGGATTTGATTCTAAACTCTCAATCAAAAGATTAAAACGTTGAAGGATCTCCTTACTTTTCCTGCTTGATTGATTTGATCCTTTCGATGAGGGTGATCTCAAACTCGTCAGGATGTAAAGGAGCATTCGGCTCTGTGGGCTTCTCCAAGATCTGCACAAAGATCAGAACATTTGTACTTTCTCACCATGTCATTCTGACATTATTCAGATCTGATATTTGGAGTTTTTTTTTGTTAGGCTCCTGTTGAGTCTCTTGTGTGGCTATGAAGTATTTTTTGAATAATAAATCCCAGTCGTGTTTGTCTCATGCACGCAGAACTCTTTACTTAACGTTCTTCAAACCAGATGTTATTTTTATAAGCTTTGGTCCATCAGGCCCGCTCTCACCGTGTTTTGTCTCCTCAGTTTGAGCTTGTTGACAGCTTGAGCCTCTGCGTATTCCAGCTCCTGAATGTTCTGCATCTTCTCATTGTAACGCCGTAACTGCTCGCAGATCAGGATCTCCACACAGCTTAAAACAAAAACAAAGTGATCAACGTGTTGAAATACTTCAGATATAGAGCAGGGCGTCTGCAGTCTCTATCAGTAACAATTAGATTTAAATCAGCAACTGGAAAAATACTTTTACAACTTCACAAGTGCATTTTTTGCAAAATGTGCAAATGACACGAATAACACAAACAGGTGTGCCTGTGTGAACAGTTTAAGCACTTTTAAAACAGTATGATTTTAGTAATAAAAACAGCTCAATATGAGCTGTTTTCTCACTACATTTGTAAGTTGATCTGTAGAGTCTATAAAATTCACCAACAAATTGCTAATTTTTCAACATACTTAAAGGAAAACTACTGTAAATGCAGAAATTTTATGGCGTTGCAAAAGCATGCAGGTAGTTTCTTATAATAATGTGAAAAATGTTAATAAAAAGACTGCCTCTGATAATAAATTGTGGTTCCCAAAGCAGTTTGAGAACAACTTGCCCTGTGTTTGAATGTAAGAATTTAAAAAGACCAACAAACTAATCTCACGTTTTATGTTCATTCTTTTTAAGACCGCTGGTTCCAGCTGAATGCTTCACCTCCAACTACTTTTAATATTATTCACAGACCTTTGACAAACTCAAATAGATCTGCATAATGTTAAACAGTTTCATTATCTTGTGTAGAACTATGGAAACCTCTCTCCTAACAACACATAAACAAGCCTTAAATGCGAGGCTTTGTTTGCATGCACTGGGCACGAATGTATGAATAAAAAAAAGGATTATATAGTTAGAGTAGTACGCAGACTCACAGGGTAGTTTTGGGTACATCCTTCATGCAGAGGAGGGGGTCGTCAGTATCAGGTGAGCGCAGGATGCAAGGGGCAAACACAATCGCAAGCGAGCTTGGCGTCATCTTATTGTACTTTTCTTCCTTTGCAACTCTAAAAAGAAAACACTGGTTAAACCCTATTTATGACCTTTATCATTCCAAACAGTCAATTTATTTCCCTACTTGACAAGGTGAAAGATTAGCCGCTCCAAAGTGTTGTAATTAGCAGGAGGAAGCTCGTCAATCTTTTGGTACACGGCCCTTATTTTCTCAGCGTTCTCTGGCAGCTCTGCAGGTGAAGGAGGACATGAATAAATCACAACTGCACACTTTTATGAACATGCATTTTGTCCTCTGCAGAAGCAACACAAGCCAAGATGCTAAAAAGTTATTAAAAACTGTTTTGTTTTTACCAACAGCATGTAGAAAGTCGCTGTAGAGAGAAAAAGTCATGAGGGGGTCGGGCAGCTCTCTGAACCAACGTTTAACGAGGCCTGTGATGGTGTGGATGGGGAAGTTATCCAATGAAGCTTTCGCAGGATCTAATGGAACAAAACCAGACCCATAACTTATTTATTACAAGTTGACATGATTTTATGCTTTGCACTCAGGTGACCAAAGGGCAGGAATTAACAGTAACTCTGGCGCCAACACTGTTTGATGATATTCATTGAAGCACTACACACATTTTATTGAAAATCATATTTATTCAGTACAAATTTCAACGCTGATCTGGAGCCGAAAGGTTTTTCTTACTGGTCTCTAGAACCTGGTGGAGCTCCCGCGCTCGACAAGCTGAACCCGACTTGCGGTAAATGCCTTCAGAGTAGAGGCCGTTCAGCTCCACGTGCATCAGCAACATCTCCAACACTTGGGGCACGGGGTTGACTTTACTGGTCAGGACACACACCTGCACCCCAAAGTGGTGGGAGCCTGGTACACTGTTATCCTAACAGAAACGAAAGACAAGACGATGAATATCTCAACAGATAGTCTGTGAACATAAAGAGAACGCTCTGGTCAGAATATTGTTTGTTAATGTGAAACTGTGAGCTCCCACCTGGCTGGCGCGCCGCGTTGAGCAATCTGTGATGATTCTGTTCAGACATTTCTTGTGACAAATTAACTTGCACGCTAAAATGAAAACAAAAGAGAAAAAGTTTACTATATTTATATGAATGCACGTTCAAATTACAAATTATCATTCGTACTCACCGCTACACATGTAAGCTTTCTCCATTGCCCAGATGTAGGAGCCACACAAGTCACATGACTGCATAATGTTGACTTGATACGTGCTGAAAAGGTGATCCAGAGGACTGTCAAACTGCAAATAAACAAAATATTTAAATATAGCAAGACACTCAAATAATTAGTTACAAGGAAATGCAATAAAAGGAAATTAACTTACACACTTTTCCTTTTTCCGTTTCTTCTTTGTCGTCTTAGAAATAAAAAAAAAGAAGAAATGTGATTTATGAGCCTTTATTACCTCTTTTACGGACTAATGACTCAATTTATTAAATCTACCTTTAACGTTTCAGAATCGGCTCGTTTTATTTCACCCCTGATGAAGCCGTCTAGCACGGTCTGGAACAAGTTGACGACCAGGGAGACCTCTGATGTCGGTCCTGCGAGAGCTTTCACCGTGTTGTGATAACTATTCACCAGATCTTTGTAACCCACTTGATACTTCTGTTGGAGAAAAGATTCATGGTTGGTAACGGCACTTTTAGTGGTAGGGGTTAAAAGATAATTCAAGAACAGCAAAAAAGACCCCTAGGTTTTTCTTTAAGTTTAAATTTGTCTTACGTGCACAGGGTACATGCTTTTAATAGTTTCTCTGAACTCTTTAGTGGCGTTGAGGAATATCATCTCTGTTGGAGACAGCTCTTTTATCCTCGACTGAAGCTCATTCACCTGGTGACAGAATGGTAAAAATCATAAAAAGGAACACACACAAGTGCTTTTTAGATTTTTTTTACTCTTACTTTTAAGAATAATATAAGATAAAAGAAACAAATATTTTATGGAACTTTGTGACAACAGACCTTATTCCCAAGGAACTCATCAAGGAGTCGGAGCTCCTTGGGATCGGTGATCTCTCGGTCCAGAGACGCGTTCCCCTGCAGGGCTCGAGTGGCCCGGCTGATACAGATAGTGGGGTTACGTTTGACCCTCCCACTGTTCTGATTTAGGCTTTGGTAAGATTGTGGCGTGTAGCGTGGCAACGTTACTGCAGAGACAAAACAGACGAATAAGGTAAGACATGAGATCAAGCATTTAAAAAGACCAAACCCATGGAGGTGAACAGGAAAATTTTAACACATTTTCATACAAACTCTAAAGTCCAAACATTCATTTAAAAAAATGCACTAAACTAGGACTTTCATATAGTAAGTAAAGTAAAGTTTTATTATAAAGAGCCTTTCACAGACATATACTCACAAGGTGCTGTACAATCATCCTCAATGTAAAAATGGCAGAAAGATAAAATAAAACATAATAAAACATAAACAACATAATAAAACATCAATAAATTCTAAAATTGTAACTCAGACACACGGTCGAGGCAGAGCATGACAAGAGATGAGTGTTATGTATGCAAGACTGTACAAATCATAAGAAAAATTGTTAAATTAAAAAAGGGGGGATTTATGTTAAATATAATATAATACAAAAACACAGTGGGGGTGGGGGGGTGATGCCGTATGTTCAATAATACAAAAACACCTAGTGGCAAGATCAGTCAGTTTCACAAAAATCTGAGTCATTTCCAATGCATACTCTGAGTTATAGCATAAGAGTCTGTTGGATGTGGCAGCCAGAAAACCCCAAACTCTTTGATTACCTGTTTTATCTGATGGAAAGTCACTGGTCGGGGAATGTTTAGCAGTCCGTTTCTTCAGAAATCTACCAAGAAACGAAACCCTACAGAAGAGATAATATGGATAAACATAAAATTATCAGTTAGGTTTACAAGTTTAACTCTGATCTTTACAGTTTCTTTACAAGTGAACTGAGCAAATGATTGTACCTATCAGGGGTTGTGACTTGTGACTCGTTGGACGGGTTAGAGCCTTGATGTCCCGAGTCCTCGAGGGAGGTCCTGGATGGGAGGCTGTACCTGGAACCATCAGGTTCTGCTGATATCTGCAACAAAAACAACAACAAAATAGGAGTAAAGCAAAAAAAAAAAAAGCAAGTTTGCTGTCCCAGTTGTCTGAGAGTCCTTCATGCGTCCCCCCAGATCACCTGCAGCACCCATTTCTTTCCAAGAGTCCCGCAGCTCTTCCAGCAAGAAACCACGCTCTGAATATGTAATAAAGTCCCACAGTAGTGACAGTCCTCCACCTCCATCATGCACAGTTAGTCTCTTACCACCAGTGAAATGCTCTGTTGTCCATATGTACATGTTACTTGTGCCGACACAGATTAAATTAGTAAACTGTAATAGAAAAATTTATTGATTTAAGCTACATGTTTTTTGTTAATAAAAAAATAAAAATGTGCCCAGAACAATCCCCCAAATTTAAGTTATTTTTATATAATTTTAGTGATTAATAAATGGAAGTAGTTTAACCTTGACAAGAGGATTAGTTAGTGATTACTACACAAGAAGTCTAAGATACACAAAACTGCATTCATAAAATGTCTCATGTCTAAGTTCAAACTGCACCAGAATGAATAAAATCATCACAAAGGCAGAATCTGCTCTGATCAGATTTCTTTATTTATGAAAATCAAACAAAACATCCTGATATCAAAGATATATGTTATAATGTGTGAGCCTAATCTGTGCCTGCTGACCAACAGCTCCTTTTTAAATCGAGACAATAAAGATCAGAAATGAGCACTGGAAACAGGCTTTGACGTTTCCACTTGATTTGAAAGCCAAAGCTCATTTTCTAGTCATCTCGGGCTGAACAGCAGAAATCACAAGTACCAAAAACAAGCCACCCATCCTTTTGGGAAGCTCACATGCAGGGCGACTGAGCGAAGCAGAGCTATGGTTGTAGAAACCTCCCATCGGTCAGTACCTTGACCTGGGATAACAGGGCCCGGACATCCGTGCAACTGGCTGAGCTCGTCAGGTTGGGCACAGAGGGACTGACGGGAGGCAGAGGAAAGCTCCAGTACTCGCTTTCCTTGGAGCCCCCAAAGTTACTCATCAAACCGCTGCGGGCGTGGGCTAAGCGACGCTTGTGTTTTTTCTTGCGGCGAAGAACCGTGCCCTGACGGGGGTCAGAAGAAGGGATAATGCAAACACTGCGAGGCCTCCGTTGACTCCCGTGTAGGAGGCTTAAATTCACGTGTTTGCAAGTTTAACAAAAGCTTACAGCACAAAGCACACAGGGTTCCTTTATGAATCAACTATTTTAAAACACAAAACTCTAAATAAATCTGCAGGAAACAAATATTGAGAAGCAGTTTTAAATCAGGGTTTGTGTTATATAGGATGAAGAGCAAAGTTACCTCTGTGGAGGGAGAGCTTTCAGATTCAGAGGAGCTGGTCTTGGACAGTTCATCAGCAGACATCGCCTTCCCTGTGCGACTATTTAATAGTGAAAAAACAAAACAAGGAATTAAGATGGACTAAACTAAAGCTCTTTGAAGTTAAGGTCCTGTCACACTAAAAAAGATAAATTTTTCCAACACTAGCTGAAGATGGAATAAAAACAATCTACTGGAAGCCTTAATTGGACGTGTATGTACTGTAATTCTAACAAGGTGATATAAAAAATAAGAACTATATAAGAAAATATAACCTATATAAGTTATTTAATCTTAACTACATTTTCATTGGTTTGAATAAGTTGTCAAAAATGCTACAGTGTGACAGGGCTGCTAGTGCAGGGGTTCTCAAACTGGGGTCCCAGGACCCACAGGGGTCTGTGAGAGGTATCTTGGAGATCCTCAAAAAAGTCACTAAATTGTTAATTTAGTTTTTATTTTTAAAAATGCATGGAGAACAATGAACTAATAAAACATAATAAATTTAATAAAAATATATATTCTCATGGCATTTAGGGGTTGAAACGACAATAAATGATCTTTTAAAAACAGAATGAGGTTTATGAGGGGGTTCCTGGAAGTTTTTTGCCCCTGTAAGGGGTACCCAGACCCAAATGGCTTGAGAACCCCTGTTCTAGTGGTAATAATACCAAAAGGTACATATTAAGAAGAGTTTTTAGCTACATAAATATTTAATCAAAAAAATTTTTTTCACAGTATTTACAGTGGCTACTGTAATTATTAATTGCAAAACTTACTAAAAATCGTCTCTTTTTTTCCTCCGTCGCTGTACTTCAGGACTCTGTTCGTCTGTCAGATCACCTTCACTAAGTTTTTCCCTCCATATCTTCACGTCTGTGTAGTGCTGAATCGAGCTGTCTGTGGAGGACTTGGTGGATAAAATGCTGCCAGCTGTGGAGTCCAGTGGGACTGAGAAGGGTCTGCTGAGGGACGGTGGGGACAGGATGCTCCTGCCCTGTGTGGACGGGCTGTTGGCTTGCTCAGACTGCTGGGTCTTGTTGGAATTCTGCTCCAGGTTGTCTTGCCTCTTCAACTGCTTTTTACCCAAGCTGTTGTATAAAAATAACAAATTAGAGGAGCATGTCTGAAACTTGACCCACAGTTTAAATTGACAGTTTTGAATCTACTGCTAAGCTGCTGTGTTGTTAAAATAACCAGCTTTAATTAGAGACAAATTAAACCTTATCCCACACAGCCGAGCAGGGAAAAAAAAGAGCAGAAATTTATATTTCTGCCACCAGAGAGCGCCTGAATACTACTTCACTTGTAATGTGTAAACCTGATAAATGTATTTATTATTATAGACCAAAGACGTCCTTACCAAACCAGTTTATCTGCCTGCTTTCACCTTTATGTTTTAAAGATTTACTAGCTCATAACGCTGTCTTATAATAATATTCTACCTGCAAACAGCCGGTTAGGCACGCCCAGAGCAAAACTGCAATGTGTGGAATTAAACATTAAAAAATACCTTTTACAATGTTTACATGAGTTTTTAAACCTGCAATATTTCAAGGACTTCTCTGCTCCTATTTTATATTTGTTTCATTTATTACCTGTACTGGTGTTTATACAGCATAAACAGGATCTTGGCATGTTTACCTGACTAATACAGACTGAGTGTTGGGGTCGTTTTCATCCTCCCCTTCGCTTTGGTTTCTCCTCTTGGTGGAACTTGAACGCCACGCTGTTTGGATCACCGTCGCAGCTCGGTTTTGCTTCTCATGGAACTCCCGCCAGCACCTCTGAAACAGATTGGGATTTGCTTTGTATTATAAACAAGAAAACAGAGAATAAAAGCCTTTTATTGACTGAACCGACCACGTCTCAGTCTGTCACATTAAACTAAAAGATGTTTCACTTCATTTTTTTATTTTGAACCACAAGTTAACAGTTATTTAATTATTCGAGCTGATTATTGATCCCAACTGAGATGGTATCAGCTTTCTTAATTTGAGAGTTTGGGAAACAACACGCACCTGAATGATCAGTGAGGCGTCTTTCTTTTGCAGGAAGTGCGACCTTATGAGACAAGCGCGAAACCAGCGCTGCAGGGTGATGATGCGACGCATCGCTTCTTCGTTCAGAGTGACCAGAAGCAACTGTCGTACCTTCTCTTTTAGGAAAACCTGCAAAAATTAAAGGTTAGGTCAAAAAAGTTGTGTTTTAAATGGACTTCTCTTTTGATGATTAAATGGTTTTGCATTGTTAGCATTTACAATCTAATCTGATTTATCACATGCTATCATTTAATTGTACCTAAATATCCATTCTAGATCTAAAAATAAAACAAAAGTCTTGCGTTAAATTAACAGCCAGAACAAGAAACAGAACATGAGTATGTGCACTAATGTTTAGAAAAAGATACGATGGCTAACCTTGGTTTTTCCTATTTGGTAGCTGGTCTTATCCAAACCCATCCTCTCAAACAGTTCAGTTATGACCTCTGGAGAACCAGTCGCTCCTTTCGGAAGCAAAATCCTGAACCTCTTCCCAAATTCCTGTCATGAGGGGAAAGATATTACCAGAGAACACAATATCGTTACAGACGGAAGGCAGAGAACTCACAGAGTTGTGCTTGCAGACTTACTGACCTTAAACAAGTATTTAACTCTGTAGCCAGCCTTCTGCATGCGAACCATCTGCAGAATGCCCGTGTAGTTGAGCTGCTTCAGCACAACTTCATCATCAAAGTACAGCTCTTTCTAGAAAAGAGAAACATTTACATCATATGTCTCTTCTAGTCCCAACATGCTTGCATGAACAAAAAAACGAACATGCTGCAGATGTCACAGGTGACGTTACCTTTTCTGTATTGGAGCGAAAGCAGAAAATGAAGAACGGCTTTGCTCTCTCAATGGTGTGAATCAATTTTCTGAGAGAGGTCTGTGTGAGAGATACCTTTTTAAAAATATATCAAACTTTGCTGATTCTCATGAGTAGTTTAAACGGGGATATATCATGCAAAATCCACTCTTTTAGCTGTTAAATGGAGTCTCCAGGAGTGCTTGGGTCATAGTTTTCAATCTGTTCAGTTTTTTTTATTCCCTATTATTTTTTTTAAATAATGTCACAGTATTTGCTGCAGAACTGCTAACCAAGGTCACAGACTTCCAGATAAACATTTGCGAGAATCCAGGGTTCATAAGAGACAGCCTCAAAATGAGTTAATCTGAGACACACCTCAGAAAAAGGATGAAAGAGGAGTTTGTGGAGGAATTCAGACCAAAGCATTGCAGCTCTACTTACATAAATGATTTCAATGGGAAAGAGAAGGATTTACAGCATCATATGTCTCCTTTATAACATTCATAGAAAAAAATAGCCGTGCAAGACAAAACATATAATGAAATACAGTAAGGATTCTCAAAGATACACAGAAGACAAACCTCAAACTGAGCGCTAACTGTGGGCAGCTTTTCTCGCCTTTGAGGGTGGAAGATGGATTTGCTGGTTCTGTCGTGCCTCGTAAGACCAGCAACATGTTGGAGTGAATGGGAATTCATCAGGTTCTGTTTGACACAACAGAATAATAAGCCATGAGCTTCACCCCTTTGAAAGCAGGATCAGATTATAGATTATATCAGCTTCACCTTTGGGATCAGCTGCTTGTGCCGACTGCCTCTACTTTTTCTGTCGAAATCACAGAAACAAAGTTTTACAACTCAACGAACGCCGCAAACATATAAGAGAAGCATTTTGTTACAAACGGTTTGCGCACCTTCTCTGCTCGTAACTGGAAAAGATGTCCCCAAAGAAATCCAGAGGATGTTCGTCGGCATGATCGAAGGAGAAATCCAGAGTCATGCTGCTGCTGTAAGAGTAAAAAGAAAATCTTTACTTTTACTTTAATTTTCTTAACGTGCAGAAAGCATGCTGTAAAAATGTGAAGCATTTAGAAGTACCTTGATAGTCTGTCTTTTCGGCTGCTGCGCCATTTGTTGTATTCAAGTGATTTGCTTGATCTTCGTCTAGCAGCGACTGTGACAACGAGAAATAACTTAACAAAAGTTCTTCTTTTGCACAAATTTATCTGGGGTAAATCAACCCACTCGGTTCTGCCTTCTGCCGTGCCATCTTCTTGAATACGGAGATGATGCGGATGGTCGCTCGGAGGATGCCCCACCTGAACAGGGCTTCTGGGCTGGAGGAGACCAAGTGATGCAGGAAAGAGCGCTCGCTGCTCCGGAGGAGAGCGACGACTTCAGGACGCATGTGCTCCGTGTTTTTCTTTATGAAATCCTAAAAACAAATTCAAAATAAATCCCAATTACATGACAAATATAATCATGTTGCAACTATATAACAAAGCAAAATAAATAAATAAATAAATAAATAAAACTATACAACAATACATTTCTGTGAATCTCCACAGATGGAATTAATCATTTATTTGAAGATTTTTAGTGTTTTTCCCCCCTTATTGTTTTATCAAACTACTGAAGTGTGGGTTTTATTTATACATCGATGCAACAACCTTACCTTGATGTGATATTTAACTTTCTCAGCGTAGTGCTGGATTGCAAAGGTCGACTCTCTTCTATGAGGCGCTTCAAAGAGAGGGTTGTCCCGATGCTGCTGCTTGAACTTGTTCAACACTGTTTCATCTGTGGCCTGAGGGAGTCTGAAAGAGAAGGACTGACAATCAGATTCATCACATCATTCACAACACGAACTAAAATAAATAAAACGACCTAGAATGATAAAATGTAAATGTTGTTTTGCAGATTTTGATCATCACTGAACTGAACGATCACATCCTGCATCATCGTTTTCCTGTTTAGTCATAGCTTCAGTTTCCAATTGATCATTTTGGTTTTATTTGGGACTCTTTAGTAATAAGTTCCTCTTTAAGCAGAGGAGTTCATATAATTATTTATTTCTATTCTTTATAAGTTGTGTTTTATACCTTTGCATGGAGCAACTGTCACAAAGTTAATTTATGCCTGGGATTAATAAACTATTCTGATGAAATCATCTGCTAAAACAACTATTTTGTTTTTACTCGTAGAAATGGGAGGCCGTTTCCAAAAATATTTTATGAATTAAGAGCTGACTGAGATTCCTCATATCCTTGTTGTTTGATTTGAATTATTTAGTGCTTGTAAGTGTTAAAGTTAAATGGTCGCAGTTCACTTACTTGCTCTCCTCGTTCAGTAAGGTAAAGAGTCCGACAGATTTGCTGCTGATCAGGTGAATGCAGTCGTGGTTGTCGTTAAAGTCGATGTTTTGCCAGGTTATACCTTCTGCAATGTAATCTTTCTGAAAATGAATAAAAATTCCAAACGATTGCAAAAGTGTTGAGCAACTGCTTAATATGTTTTAAAAAAACTTGAATAAATTAAAAAATGGAAACAAGTATTTAAATGTTTTTAATAAGAATTTAAAACCTTTATCTTGGTGCGTGAGCATGCAGCAATAATCAGCTTTTTAATACGAAAAATAGTCATATTTTCTGAACCTACTTGCTTGTATGTGAAGATGTTTTGATTGATGTAATGCTGCAGTTTCTCATTGGTGTAGTTGATGCACAGCTGCTCAAAACTGTTTGTCTGGAGGTTCTCGAACCCAAACATGTCCAGGACACCAATGGACAAACACTAAAACCAAAACACGGTTCGGTTTTAAAAATATCGTAGTAAAAAGAAACGTGACAGTTAATTTAAAAAAAACACAGAAGTCTTCCTAAAGTCAACTGAACAGAACCACGTGACTCACTGAAACGGACTCCTCCATGTCTCGTCTGTTGAGCAGTGCATGGTTGATGTGAAGGATGATCCAGTCAAACAGAGCTCCGTATAAAGATTTGGCCATGGAGTCCCGCAATGAAACTGCCTAAAAGAACAAGTTTTACAATTACAAGGTTAGAAAAGGTTACAAAACTAATTCAACTTCATGAAGATTATTAAATAAATAAAACCAGATGGTTCAACAAAATTATCTTTAATAAAAACTTCATAAATATTCTATAAAATGCAGCTTAAGACAAAACTCAAACTAAATACCTCTTGTAGTGTGTACTGTGAAGTTACAGTGGAGGTGGCTGTCACTTGTTTCCTTTCGGTCAAAGCCATTACCAGTAGTTCTTCTTTCACCTATGAATAAAAGGAGAAAAACCAATTCAAAGAAAATATACTAGATGACAATGTTACTTTACTAACAGAGAAACATTGTTCAATCTATTGTGTCTTTTTCTTTCAAACTAGGAGGTTTTGTTCAACTATTTGGTCTAAAACAAGGCAAGAAATTTGTTGGAAAACCCTATTTTTTCCTCTTTCAGCTGTTCAGTCATCCTCCTTTTTCCTGTCAGCTGCATCTTTAACATCCTTCTACATTTATACCCACCATCTCTCCTCTGGACATGTCCAAACCATCCTTATCTGGCCTCGTGTAACCTGTGCTGTTCATTCCTAATCTTATCCATCAACCTGTCTCATCTTTTTTGGCACAGAATACATATAAAAATAACAGGAACATAATTCTGTGAAGGGTATGGCACCATAACGTGTAACCACTCTTACCTTCAACAGGTCTGACAGTGTTGATAGCACGTCTGCAGGTCCGGCCTCCAGGACCTGAGAATCCTTCGATAAAGTGAATGTCACATTTCCCAAATGCAGAATGGCGGAGAGGATGGAAAATATGCTGCAAATACAAACATAACTTTAAGTTTTTTTAATGAGGAAATAATACGAACATTAGTTGGTCAGCTTACAAAGCTTCAACAACATCTCAGACTGAGTCACATGTATGTTTTTGTGTTTGAATGTCAAGTTGTTTAGCAGCTATGAAAGTGGAATAAACTTGATGCAAAAGCTGCAAAACAGTTACCATGAATGCAAGGTAAAATACAGTACATTAGATAGCTTATATACACTCTAATATATAATTTTGTTTTATTATTAATAGTTTTTACGATTTCTACATCATCAGTACTTTTTTTTCATTATGGTGCCAACATGTACAGTGATAGTGAATCCAGACGTTTGCCTGTTCTGCTTAGCGCTGTAGCTTCTACAGCAGATCACACAAAACTCACTCCAGTTGTTATGTAGTTATTATTTCCATAATCAAAAATGACTATTTGGGACCTCTAGTGGTAAAAAAAAAACAACTCAGTGCAGTCTCAGCCCCATTACGTCACAGATTAAGACAGGGGTGTCCAAACATTTTGTCACATGGGCCAAAATCATAAAGTCAGAAGGACTTGAGGGCCAAAAGTATTTTCCCTTTACCTGCTCAACAATAAACTAAGCATGATTACTTTAATTAAACAAATAAAGTAGTCAGATTTATTGCTGGAAATGGATGTGTAAATTAATCTAGATTTGGAACTTTAAAAAGGGTTTTGCAGGATTCCCATATTGAAAGAAATTTTGCAACTTTTTAGGTTTCAAGTGGGGGAAATATAAACAATTTAGTCAATTATGATCAATAAAATCAGGATTGAGGTCACTCTTTCAGTGAAAATGCTTGCTGTATTCAGAAAAATTTAATAAATTAATTAAAAGCAGATTGGAGTGCAGCAAAATCAGATTTTCAGTAGAAATCACTAGATAGATATGGAAAAAGCTAAGAGCCTTAAAGATAAATAATTGGTATTGTTGCCAATATTTTTTATTAGAAGATTTTACTTTGTGATAGATTTGCCCTAATAATAAATAGAAAGTCTCCATGTAGCTCAAACACCTGTGCCAGGGGGACAAATTTATAAATACATTAGTATAATTCTTGAACTGAAGTCAGGGGCCACACAAAATCAGTTCAGGGGCCACAAATGGCCCCCAGGCCACACTTTGGACATCCCTGGATTAAGAAGAGCCTAAAACACGCTAATAATTCTCGTCATGAACTGTTAGCTATACCTCTTGTACATAACAGAGATCTTCGAGGGAAAAAAGCTCCAAAATCTCCACTTCATTGCCACACATTTTTATTTTAATTAAACCACAAAGATCTTTATCAGTCGAGCAGCTGAGTCTGAACCCGGTACAGTTTCCAGATTCTCAAGCCTTTATGGAGAGTTTTTATATCACAAACTTTGCCTCTGGTGCTTCTGCATGCACGTTGTGCCTCGAGGCTATCAGGAGACGGCTGAAAAAATGTGCAGCATTTTTATCCTGTTTGAGATGACAAGCTCTGGCCTGTTACAGACACCAGTACAGGCAACAGAAACTACTCGATAGTGTTCAGTTACATACGACTGACCTGCTGAACCGAGACTCTATGTAAATACTCTTTAAATACAAAGCAGAGGGACCCTCATTAAAAACACTGCAAACAAGTTCAAACAAAGAATCTTGCTCCCCAAAGAGCACAGACACAGGTGTTTTTGTACGAATTTACAGCTTGAAACATGTGCTGGCAACATCCAGGAAGAAAGGAAACCAGAGTGTTTTCCACACAGGGTGTTTCAACAGATTATATCAAGACAAAACAGACAAAAAACGTATTCTGCGCGTACTTGCAAGTGACTCATAAAAGTCAGCAGATAATGCTGCCGCAACTGGTCGTCATAGCCGACACCATCAATCACGATAATTTATCATCGTCACAGTTTTTAGTCAGCACAGAATTTAGGATTTTCCTTTTTAGTCTCTTAGTTTGTCTCCACTCTACTCGTACGAACTGCGTCTGAGCTGCGGTTTTAAACTTAAGTATGGCGGGAACTGTAAGCCAGCTGACACTAAAGAGGTTGTTCTGTAAGGTTTCCTTGGCTTACTACATCAAAGGAGTCACACAGAGCTGCTGATGAGCTGTCAGGAAAAAAAAAAACACAAAACAACGGCTCAGTGGTTAGAGCAGTCATCCTCCCAGAGTCGATTCTCATGGTGAAGTGACCCTGGTTAAGACACTGAACCCCCTCATTGCCTCCAATTTGTGTTCCACTGGTGTTTGAATGTGATTTAAAAGCCATGTTAGGCTCTATAGAATGATTTATTCAGGTAAGCTTTGTGTTCATTGCTGTATAATTGTGTGTGGGTGTGTAAATGAGGGCACAGACTGACTGTAAAAGTGCTTTGTAAATATATAAATACAGTTTATTTACTGTTTGGAGTCTGGCTTGTTTTAAGTGTACACTGTGAGCAGCTGATAAAAACATTTAGATCTACTACATAAAAAGGCAAAAACACTTTTTTAATAACATAGTACATATTCAACAGAGATTTCCTCAATCCATGATTTTTGGAGAAAAATTAGGCCAGAGGTGCCCAAAGTGGGGCCCATGGGCCAAAGTTGGCCCGCCAAGCCATTGACTTGGCCCACTACCAGTTGGCTTTATGACTATATAGTTTTTTTTTCTCATAGTGCTTACTTTGTCTAAATACAAGTAACTACAAAAGACACTAGACTAGATTTGCACACTTTATGACCACAAATACTCAGATTTTGTCAATTTATGAAATGTCCCATGAGCCTTTGTTACCTGAGCGTATGTCAAATTTTCTCCAAGTGCACGGGCTAAAAAAAAACAAACAAACACCACACTGGCTACTAGCTTAATCATAAAAAAATTTAAAAAGACTTTAAAAGTATTTGCATTTCGTGTATTATATTATTGCATTTGACCCGCAGCCCTATAACAGATTTTCATTTTGGCCCTTTAGGGGAAAAGGTTTGGGCACCCCTGAATTAGGCCAAGTTCACACTAACGACTTGAACTGATTTTTCTGCGTGAGCGTTCTCATTATATTTTAAATGCGACCTCCATCAGACTCCACCGTGAACTCTCCACAGAACTGATGTGACCCGCATGATGTCACATTCAGCTCACTGTTTTACAGAATTAGCTAAACACGGATGCTACATGTTATTGCATGTCGACTCGGAAGTCGTTCAAAAATAATTATCTGACCTTCTTGTTTAGCTTACTGTTTATATTTGCCGGATGATCCAGTGCAGCATTTTATTTTGGAACAAAGCAACGTGCTAAAAGTAAAGCATCGATCCAGTAACTTTATTATCGATACGGTCTGACAACATCGGCATCGTGTGTTTCTGCAGGTTTCTCAGACATCCAGGACATGGAAAATTAAAAGAACAAAGACAAAACAACTGGATTTCTGTTCTCAGATGAAATGAGACATGATAGTTTGGACTGCAGTCGCTTTGAAAAACATGAGTATGACATACTGAAATGGCCTGGGTTGGACTTAAATGAAAATAAATCAGTTAATCAATAGATTGAAATAAAATATTTGTTGGTGGCAGCCCTTGCTGCTCGTTAAAAACACATACTGTTTCTTAGTTGAGGGCAAGAAGCCAACCATCTCCATAGCTTGATGGAGCCTCTTGTACTCTTGTCCAAGCTCTTCCCCTTCAACTGAACTGAGATCATCCTGCAAATAAAACAATAAAAGACATTCAGAGAACACATCATTATAAAGACCCATAGAAGAGACTACAGAGTCAATGTAAAACATTAGAATAAGAGAAGCACAGCAGAGTCTGTTTATGCCTCAAAACCAGATGGGATTTTTCACTGGAACTGTGGTCAAAAAGTAGGGCTGTGTATTGGCAAGAATTTGGCGATACGATACATATCATAACAGAGGGGTCACGATACGATATATCCTGATATATTGCGATGCTGTAAGCAAGGCAATATATTGCGATATATTGTGACTTTTTTGTCCAAAAATTCTATTAAATAAAAACCTCTTACTGAAATTAAAAAAAGAGAAAAGCTTATGTTTACTTACAATGCTAATGCTACCCTTACTCTCTGGCGCTCAAGAGGTAGAGGAGCCAAATGGCTGGCTCCCTGCTGCCAACTAGTGGTCAGAGGCTGAACTACAACATAAAAATGAACGGCTGGCAAGAAGGTTGACATTTTAAACCTTAATAAAAACCGATACAGGGCTTTAGAATATCGATACAGAATCGGGAAATGAAATATCGTGATATTTCAGTGTATCGATATTTTCTTACACCCCTATCAAAAAGGGAAAAATGATTTGCGCTGTGGATAAAAAAAACTGAAGTGGAAATGACTCGGTTGAGTTAGTTCTGTTGCTGCTTATTTTGAGTTCAGTCAATAAGGGCATCGTTTTCAGACTGATGCAACAACACATAACTGTATGTGTAAAACTTGATGTGTCAAAGATGATATTCTACTTTCAATAGTTTTTACTTTTGTTTTGTTTTGAAACAATTGTAAAAAAAAATACGGGAACAAAAGAACAATATTGGAGTTTGGATACTATGATCTGGAGATGATCATTATATCTGTGAGATTTTCAAATTCATTGCTTAAAAAACCAACATGACGCAAATCTTTAAAGTTTAAAAATTCTCAGTTGAATCCACAAACTTCTGTAAGTAGCTACAAGTAAAAAAAGGTAAAATAAAATCACGTGATATAATGTGACTTTTGATATAATGTGTGTGTATTTTTCATGGTTTGTGAAGTAATTCAAAAAGTTAAATCAACACAGATCAAAAGCTGAAGTCTGAAGAACTTCCTGGTCATAAAGTTTCATAATAAACATCCTAAGTAACTGAAAAACATCTTCACATAACCCATTTCTGAGAAGGATTCTTCAACAAGAACTGAAATAATGTTACTTAGCATTTCCCCTTTTTTTCTTTTTGTTTGTCATCTTGAAACTAAGTGATGTAAATAAAGTAACAAGTGTCCTTTAAAGCTTTTGGAGATCAGATACTCTTTTTTTGATGAGCTTTTAACCAACATTTGTGAGCTGACGTCCACCCGATGAGATGTTTCCAGATGAAGTGATTTGTTTCCATTTAAGACCCACCCCTGGTTTTTCCCCGATCACAGAAAGTCAACGGAGGTGTGTTTATTAGAAGCTCGGAGCTTCCTCCTCCTCCTCTGCTGTGAGGATCAAATGTACCTGGCTGAGATAGAAATAATCCTGCGGCTTCGACAGGTGAAACTCCTCCCGCTCGTCCTGGGATGCGCCCATCAGCAGGTAGTAGAAAACATGGTAGTTCCTGCAGGTCAGAGGTCACAGTAAAGCCTCAGTTTATGTTTTGGGAGTCAGGTTTTAGTGCATTTCCTTTTAAGAGGTCAGTGCTGAGTAAAAATTAGTGGCATTCAAAGAAATGTTTAAACAGGAAATCTATTTATATGTTGAGATTTAGAATTATTATTATAAAGAGTTTTAACTGTACCTATCAGTTTTATCTCTGGACACCAGGCGGCTCTTGTCCAGCAGAAACTTTTCGATAACTGCCCTGCAAAGAGAAACACAAATGTCAAACGCACAATCCTGGAAGAACAGATTAAGAATTCACTAAATGAATTGGAGATTTTAAAATGACACAATGCTTTTACCCTCTGATGACTCCACTTTCCAGGTAATTGAGCTGGATGAATTTCCCAAAGCGGCTGGAGTTGTTATTCTCAGCTGTCTTAGCGTTGCCAAAAGCCTGTTTAATACAAAAGCAATATAAATTTTAATTAAAATAGACAGAAATGCTTGTAGGCACGTTTCCAACGTCAGTCATACATCAAAACATCTATGACACATGTGTCAAACAAAGCCTGCCAATTTGTGGCCTGTGAGAGCGTCAAAGATGTATTAATGTCATGAAATAAGTGTACTCTGCTTTAAAGCCTGCATTGACCATAAACTTCATTTCCCATATTGCATGCTAAATATTTTACCCACGAAGTTATGTCATCTCACCACTAGGTGGACGTGGACAGGGTTTAAAAGTAGCTAGCAAAATTGGATGTGTAAAATGTCCTATTCCCCTCCTTTTGGCGGGATACTATTTCTGAGTCCATTTGTACTGGGAAATGGGAATTTACCATTTACAAGTCATAAATTTGGAATGCCCCTCAATTGGAAAGTCTGTGTCATAAAGTGGGAGAGTTCAGAATTCAAGATGGCAGCTACTCACGACTCAGTGAGTAAAACTCTCATACTTTTACTTTTAATAGTATTTCTGTATTATTTATTTCACATTTAAACAGTCGTACACGTAATACTTTTCAGTGTTTATAAGAGGATGTGCCAAACACTGTTTCTATACATGAAACACCACGCACAGCTCAGTTATTGTTTGTTAGTGGTGCTCAGCCGTAGCAAAGAGAGGAGGAATACGATGTTTCATGTTTGGTTGAAGTTAAACACGAAACATCAAAGTTAATTACAACTAAACCTTTGAAGGCCCCCAATGCTCTTGTGGCCGTCGGTGAAAATGAGTTTGACGACTCGTTCTATAAAGTGAAGCTTTAATCTGAACTTAAACAAAATCAGCTCTTTGAAAGCCTGTTATGTAAGACAGTTATGTTCTTTTACATGAACTGTATTAAGAACTTCAGAACTTCAACTATGTCAATTTCACTTCTATTATGTATATAAATAACCGCAACACAAGCTGCTGAAAGCCATCTTTTGTTTAGACGTCAAAACGACTTAAGCAAATTGTCACTTTAATCCAAAAGATTTGGGTTTTGTTTGGATTTTTATAAAGAATTATACAAACCTTTCTGACAGACTTTTTTTGGCCATAAAAGGTCATTAAAGTTGTTCAAACTGTGCCGTACCTCTAATGATCTCGTACCTCACCATCTTCAGCTCTGCCTCTTCCTGTTCTCTCACCTGGATTTTTGTCAGTGCTACCATCTCCAAATTAATGGCTTACCTGCCATTAATTCTTACAAATAATATAATTCAGAAATTCAGACACTGAAAAGTCATGATTTATGATCTTTAGAGTAAAGCACTTGTGTGAAAGGGGGAGTGAGAAAAAAAAGCAGCAGCTTGAAACAGAAAGAGAGAAAGTAAGGGTTTGATTTTTTTCTTCGTTTGCCAGCAGCAGACCTGGCCAAGCCTGTTCTGGCATGTTTTTTTTTTCTCTGTGCGTTTCTCTTCTCTTACTGGTGTTCCCTTAGAGACAACGCCCTGCAATATTCCCCCCGTGGAGCTTCCCGATCTCCAACACAAAACAATGAGTCCGTCCCACAAGCAGCAGCAGAAATGAGAGCAGCAGGGTGAAATCACCTGATGGACTCTGAGTGCTGCCTTTTTTTGTTTACATGTCCAGCAACATGAGATCATTCTTGGAGTGTTTTCCATCGACACACTTCGTTGCAGAGAGATAATGAATTCAAACAATGAGGAAACAAGTTTTAATTTGGGATTAAAAAAATACATAAAAAACAGGATTTGATCTTTATTAGATAAAAAAGCCCTTTAAACTAGAGAATTTGTATTTCCTGCAAAAATGAAGAGGAATGCTGAAAGATTTTTTCCGATTACCTAAAAAAATTGCCTTAAACAGAAAAAAAAAAGTCTTAAGAATTGCTGAATTTAGTCAAAATAAACCCAAATAGAAGTTTGCTGAATTAAGGAGTAAGAAGCTAAAATTATCACAAAAATGTGGATTTGGCTGAAAAATGCTCGAATTAGCTAAAAACACAGAAAACAGCTGAAAGAAGCAGAAAAAGATTAAATTACCTGAAAAATAGCAGAAAAGGTCAAAATGATAGTTAAAAAAAGGGGTGGGGGAAGCTAAATTCAGTAAAATAGAAGCAGATGGAAGCTGACAGCACAGAGTAGTAAGAAATAAAAAGGCAGAACCAAAACAAAATGTGAAAAATACAGTGAATATTTGACTATTTTAAAGTGCTTTAAGGATGTTGCAGGTCCATTCATTTTCAACTATGAAAAACATGGCTGAAAAAGTTAAAGATCTTTTAATGTATAAATTGCTGAAATATCAGAATTCATAGCTGGAATGTCCAGAAGGAGCAGAATTTTTTTGATTTAATAATTGCTGAAATAGCACAAAAAAATGCGGAACGAGATACAGCGGGTAAAATAAGTATTGAACACGTCAACATTTTTCTCAGTAAATATATTACTAGAGGTGCTAATGACATGAAATTTTCACCAGATGTCGGTAACAACCCAAGTGATCCATACATACAAAGAAATCAAACCATAAATGTCCAGAAATGGTTATTTGTAATAATGTGGAATGGCATAGGGAAAAAGTATTGAACACATGAAGAAAGGGAGGTGTAAAAAGGCATGGAAAGCCAAGACACCAGCTGAACTCTCTCAGTAATTAGAAAGCAAGCCTGCCCCTTGTCAGTGCAAATTAATATCAGCTGGTTCAGTCCCAAATGATGGCCAGGTATCACACAAGAACCATCTGATGATGGGTAAAAGTAAAGAGCTCTCTCAAGACCTTCACAACCTTATTGTTGCAAAGCATAATGATGGCATCGGTTACAGAAGAATGTCTAAACTTCTGAAGGTTCCAGTGAGCACTGTTGGGGCCATAATTCAGAAGTGGAAAGAACATTATTTCACCATAAACTGACCACGACCAGGTGCTCCTCACAAGATTTCTGACAGAGGAGTGAAAAGAATGATCAGAAGAGTTGTCCAAGAGCCAAGGACCACTTGTGGAGAGCTTCAGAAAGACCTGGAATTAGCAGGTACGATTGTTTCAAAGAAAACAATAAGTAATGCACTGAACCACCATGGCCTGTATGCACGCTCACCACACAAGACTCCACTGATGAAGAAACAGCATGTTGAAGCTCCTTTAAAGTTTGCTGCACAACATTTAAACAAGCCTGTGTAATACTGGGAGAATATAGTCTGGTCAGATGAGACCAACATTGAACTGTTTGGATGCCAGAATACACATCATGTTTGGAGGTCAAATGGCACTGCACATCAGCCCAAAAACACCATACCAACAGTGAAGTTTGGAGGTGGGAACATCATGGTGTGGGGCTGTTTTTCAGCATATGGTACTGGCAAACTTCAAATAGTTGAAGGAAGGATGAATGGAAAAATGTACAGAGACATTCTTGATAAAAAATCTGCTTCCATCTACCAGGATGATGAAGATGAAATGTGGCTGGACATTTCAGCAAGACAATGAGCCCAAACACAAAGCCAAAGAAACTCTCAGTTGGTTTCAGAGAAAGAAAATAAAGCTGCTGGAATGGCCCAGCCAATCACCTGACCTGAATCCAACAGAAAATCTATGGAAAGAACTAAAGATCAGAGTTCATAGAAGAGGTCCACGAAACCTTCAAGATTTGAAGACTGTTTGTGTGGAAGAATGGGCCAAAATCACACCTGAGCAATGCATGCCACTAGTTTCTCCATACAGGAGGCGTCTTGAAGCTGTCATTGACAACAAAGGCTTTTGTACAAAGTATTAGATAAATTTCAGTAAGTGTGTTCAATACTTTTTCCCTGTGCCATTCCACATTATTACAAATAACTTCATTTCTGGACATTTATGGTTTGATTTCTTTGTATGTATGGATCACTTGGGTTGTTACCAACATCTGGTGAAAATTTCATGTCATTAGCACCTCTAGTAATATATTTACTGAGAAAAATGTTGACGTGTTCAATACTGAAAATCAAACATGGAAAAAGAAGAAGAAAAAAGTCAATAGTGTGAACACTAAAAGGCACAAGGAATGTGATGTGCATTCCTGTTTCAGACTGGATTTATCTTAAGGGAAGTTGACAAAGTCGAACGCGTCAACAAATCACACTTCCACCAAGCTAAATCTGTTACTTAAAATAAAAACCTCAGAGAAACTCAAACAGGAAACGTACTCAAACCAGAAGCCTAATGAGCAGAATCCAAATTCAGTCACCGTCTAATTCCTGGTCTCTCAGGGTTGTTTGTGTAATCAGTAACAGGGTGTGCTGAAACCTTTTGTATAGCAGGTTTGCAGCTCAACTGATGGAAAGATAAAGCTTAACAACAGAAATAAAACTGTCTCCACAGCAGCTTGGAGTTCGTTTGTTCCCTAAAACCACAAAGTAAATAAGGTGAAACATCACGTTTTTAACTTCTGGATCTGTTCATAAAAACACAAAACCTGTTCCATTAAAATAAATTATATATTGTGTTACAAAAATTGTTGCACAACTTCTTGAAATCCAGCCATGATTTTGTGCACATCCTTAAATAAAAAAAGGCTAAAACAGCTTTTGGCCCAGTTTCATGTCAGTTATCGGTGCGGAGTTGTGCAACAGATGAGCGAAGCAGCACGAGGAGACAGGCCTAGACACCGTGCCTGTAACTCACTGACACACAATGTGGCACAAATCTGATACGATGACCACAGGGACAACAAAGATAACACCCAAAACAAACGTTAACGTGTCAAAACATGAATTATCAGTCACTGCTTGGCATTTGTTGCTTTCTGATTTGAGGATAAATCTCGAAACGAATCCAAAAAAGGGAAGAATGTGTAAAAACGAAAGGCCTAGCATTCTTTGAAGAAATGCATATTGACTGTCAGTTTATGGCAGGAATTTCAAATAAAATGATCTTATAATGTTTTACTGCTCAGATTATTACATATGGATGATTCTTAGCTACCATCACAATAGAATTTAGAACACAATTAGCAAAACTGACTGAAT